TACTCAGCTACATCTGCAGACTAATAATTGATCTTAAAAGTAGCAGTAATAGAGCTGGGTTGCAGCTCAGTGTGAACATATTTGACTTCAGTGCATGACTCTGTGGATTTAATTCCCAGCACTGCAAAAATAAAATAGCAATAATAAAATTTAATGAGAAGAATGTCATTGATTTACTACTTTTTTTTTTTGGTGGCACTGAGGCTTGAACTCAAGGTCTTGTGCTTACTTAAACAAATGGTCTACTGCTTAAGCCATGCTCCCAGTCCTAGTTTGCTTTTCAGATAGAGGTCTTACAGGTTTTCCCAGGACAGCCTTAAACCTCAGTCCTCACCTCAGCTTCTGGAGCAGTTGGAATTCTAGGAGTACATCTGGACTCTCATATCTGCTTTTCAATCCAACTTCTTGAGATAACAAGTCTCAGAACCTCTCAGAGGCTTCACAGAGTTTGAGCAAGACAGATAAATTCTGAATAGTATCACAAAAGTGGTTTTGTCCCATCCAACCCCCGAAGACTCTTGAAAACCCCTTGTAGTCCCCAGCAATCACTTTATTATGAAAATTAATGTACTTGATTTTTAATGTTTATTTGCATTTCCTGCTAAAATCAGCTTGTAGAGAGTAAGAAACTGCGGTTTCATCCACTAGCTAACTCTAGAAAAGGATTTTCCTTTGTAAGTATCCTGGTTCTACTTTGTGAAAACCCGAAATCAACCCTCTGAATGAGTGATCAGAGAAATGAGTTAACCATCGGTTAAAGTTATACATTGGTTCTATGGCTAGAAGAGGACTCTCACTTGATTTTTCAACTTATAAATGGAGGTACTGAGGGTTGGGCAGGTGTTCCAATCTCAAGTGTGTAATAATAGCAGAAGGACTTTCAAATCAGATCACTCACGGTTGGATCCAAACTGAGTTGGGCCAAGTTTACTTCTTTGGGCCTCATTTTCCTCACCATGAAATAAAGTTAATAACATAGTACATGTCCCAAAGAGGTATATGAGAACTAAAGAAAATATAAGCGATTATAGTAGTTTTTGGTACATAATAAAGCCGCAATAAACATTTACTGCTATTTATTTTTATTATAATTTTTCTTTCAGGTTGAGGTTAGGTTTATCCATGCAGTGAAGTAGTATATATATTTTATTATTTAGCCATAAAAATGAAATACGCATACGTGCTGTGGTGTGAATGAACCTTTAAAACATTATGCTTAGTGAAGGATGCCAGACACAGAATGATTTCATTTGTGTGATGTGGGCAGCATCTGAACAGACCTTTATTTATTTACTTACTTTTGTGCTAGTCCTAGAGCTTGAACTCAGGGTCTGGGTGCTGTCCCTGAGCTTTTTTTTTTTTTGGCCAGTTGTGGGGCTTGAACTCTGGGCCTGGGCACTGTCCCTCAGCTCTTTAGCTCAAGGTGAGTGAGCGTTCTACCACTTGAGCCACAGTGCCACTTCTGGTTTTCTAGTGGTTTATTGGAGGTAAGAGTCTCACTGAATTTCCTGCCCAGGCTGGCTTTGAACCACTATCCTCAGATCTCAGCCTCCTGACTGAGCTTTTTGGTCCAGTCGTGGGGCCTGAACTCTGGGCCTGGGTGCTGTCCCTCAGCTCTTCAGCTCAAGGCTAGCACTCTACCTCTTGAGCCACAGCGCCACTTCCGGCTTTTTTTTTTTTTCTGCTTATGTGGTGCTGAGGAATCGAACCCAGGGCCTCATGTATGCAAGGCAAGTGCTCTACCACTGAGCTACCTTCCCAGCCCCCCCCCTTTTTTTTTCTCAAGGCTAGTGCTCTACCTCTTGAGTTACAGCTCCACTTCTTGCTTTTGGGTGATTAATTGAAGATAAAAATTTCATGGACTTTCTTGCCCTGGCTGGCTTCAAACCATGATCCTCTGATCTCAATCTTCTGAGTAGCTAGGATAAGAGACATGAGCTCCTGGCTAAGACTTATCTTTTTTGTTAGTTGCATGCCTCTTCATGGGGCACTTTGAATGTTTGAATGCTATAATATTTTATTTATTTTTTATTTATTTAGTTGGTCCTGGGGCTTGAACTCTGGGTCTGGGCTCTATCCCTAAGCTTCTTTTGCTCAAGGCTATGGCTGTACCCCTTGAACCACAGCACCTGGCTTTTTCTGAGTAGTTTACTGGAGATGAGTCTCATGGACTACCCTGCCTGGGCTGATTGCAACCAGGATCCTCAGCCTCCTGAATAGCTAGGATTACAGGTGTGAGCCACCAGCAGTGTTTTAAAATGGAAACTCTGGGAGTCAGATTCTTCCCTGAGCCCCTAGGGTTGGTTGTTGCCACTTGTGTGTTGTAATTGTTTTGTGGCTTTTTAAACTGGTTAGTTTGGGTAATACTGTATTCTTTGTTCTGTGTGATCAGTGAAGTCATGCACTAAGTTTAGTGGTGAAGTAGTGACTTAAAAGAGATTTCCCTAGATGCCTGGAGCAGGAAACACAACAAAACCCGCAGCCTTTTTATCTGGCTCTGAGTCTTGAGGCCTGCCTTCCCACTCAGCCAGGCTGGCCACAGGCAGGCCACAGCCCTGCCTTGGCCTTTGCCTCTTGCTCACACAGAGCAAGGCTTGACCTTGCTCATAGAGTCTTTTTAGGTCTTTCTAAGTCACAGCCTTCTATAGTCTCAGGAATCTATGGAAGATTTTTTTTAATTTTTTTTTCTGTCAATTGCGGGGTTTGAACTCTGGGCCTGGACGCTGTCCCTGAGCTCTTCAGCTCAAGGTGAGCGCTCTTCCACTTGAGTCACAGCGCCACTTCTGGTTTTCTGGTGGTTCATTGGAGATAAGAGTCTTGGGCTGGGGGGCTGGGAAGGTGGCTCAGTGGTAGAGCGCTTGCCTTGTATGCATGAGGCCCTGGATTCGATTCCTCAGCACCACATATGCAAAAGGAGAAAAGCCGGAAGTGGTGCTGTGGCTCAAAGTGGTAGAGCGCTAGCCTTGAGCTAAAGAGCTGAGGGACAGTGCCCAGGCACAGAGTTCAGGCCCCACGACCGGAACTAAAAAAAAAAGTCTTACGGACTTTTCTGCCCAGGCTGGCTTTGAACCATGATCCTCAGATCTCAGCCTCCTGAGTAGCTAGGATTATAGGTGTGAGGCACTGGGCGCCCAGCTTATGGAAGCTTTAAGTAAACAAAGTCTATATTTACATTAGACTTCACCCATGGCATTGTGCAATTCTTTTTTTAAGTATTATTTGCATATAGGATTTGTTTTTAAATTTTTATTGTGTTGTCAAGGTGATGTACAGAGGGGTTACAGTTGCATCAGTAAGGTAATGGTACATTTCTTGTCCAACATTGTTACCCCCTCCCTCGTTTTCTCTCACTTTCCCTCCCTGCACTGTGCTTTTTTTTTTTTTTTTTTGTCAGTCATGGGATTTGAACTCTGGGCCTGGGCGCTGTCCCTGAGCTCTTCAGCTCAAGGCTAGACCTCTACCACTTGAGCCACAGCACCACTTGTAGCTTTTTCTGTTTATGTGGTGCTGAGGAATCAAACCCAGGGCCTCATGTGAGTGAGGCAAGCGCTCTGCCACTGAGCCACCTTCCCAGCCCTGACTTTTTGCCTTTTCTAGGACATCATGTAGTTGGAGCCAAACAACATGCTTCCTTCTCATACTGCCTTTTTCACCCTTTGAGGTTTCCCATCTCTCTTGACAGTTTGACGGCTCCCTATTTTATGGCTGGATAATATCCCTGCTGGCTGAATGTAAGAGTTTTGTATCCATTCACCTATTGAGGGACTTCTTGGTGGCTTATACATTTGAGCAGTTTTTAATAAAACTGTAATAAACATCTGTGTGCAGGTTTCTGTGTAGCCATCCATTTCCAGCTGCAATAGGTAAATCTCTAGGTGTGCAGCTGCTGGCTCATGTGAGATTATATTTAGCTAAGAACTTCAAAGCTCTTATCCCACAAAGCATCTGACTGCCCGAGTAATAGGTTTTGCTTCAGGCTGCAGTGGCTGGTTCACTTTCTTTATGATATTTTCAATAAATGCCCTCCACATTACCCAGCTCTTCCTTGAGAAAGTGCCAAGTTGAGCAAAATAAGGGTGAGACCTTTGCCTTAGTCTGTCAGGGAGCCACATTTTTTTTTTTTTTTTTTTGCCAGTTCTAGGGTCTAGGGCTTGAACTCAGGGCCTAGGCACTGTTCCTGAGCTTCTTTTGCTCAAAGCTAGCACTCTAGCATTTGAGCCACAGCGCCACTTCCAGCTTTTTCTGTGTATGTGGTACTGAGGAATGGAACCCAGAGCTTCATGCATGCTAGGCAAGCACTCTACCACTAAGCCACCTTCCTAGCCAGGAACCTCAATTCTTTGAGAACAAAATTCTCTCTGTTCCTTCCAGCACCAGGAGGCCGTACCAGATACCTGGGCCAGGTTGTTGTCTTTGCTCTCCACTGCCAAGCCAGGGGCATGATGAAGCCTGGGTAAGTTAAAGCACTGCCCACTCTACCACCAGCTCCTGTCATCTTTTTTCCTGATAGGGACTTGCTTGGAGGCTGAAAAACCTTGGGTTGTTTCCCAGAGTCATTGTTGCTGTTTTTGCAGTACTGGGGTTTGAACTCAGGACCTCCAACTTGCCAGGCAGGCGCTCTACCACTTGAGCCACACCCCAGCCCTCTTTGTTTTAGTTATTTTTCAGGTAGGGTCTGACATTTTTGTCCAGGCTAAAGAAAGAGTTGCATTCAGTCCAGCATGTGCAAGGAATTCGTGCATCTCTCTTTGTGTACAGATAAGGACACCAGAAGCTCAATGGCTTCCCAGGTCCCGTGGCTGTTAAATGGCCAAGCACAGACCTGGTTAGGCCTGCTTGAGTTTCAAGGCCACGCTCTGCCCATTTGGCTGCAGATTCTGATTCCCCCGTGTTGGTTTGCAGGAACTAGTCACCGCCAGGTGCTCTCTCCTTTCCGACTCCTTACACAGCCTGGCTCATCTGCAGAGTGGCTTTTGGCCAAGACCGGGCAGAGGAGAGCCATGGACCCGTACAGCCCTGAGGACGAGGGTGCCCTTCCATCAGAAATGCACCTTCCTTCCTTCTCAGACAGCCAGGGGCTCAACTGCAACGACACTGTCAGCCGGGACCTGGGGCCCAGCACTCGAGACCTGCTCTATGCTGGCCTCAGCGGTTTAGACCTGGACCCCAGTCTCCCAGCATCAGACATGCCCAGTGAGGTGCTGGAGGACAACTTGGATACTTTGTCCCTGTACTCAGGGAAGGACGGTGACTCTGTGAAGCTGTTGGAGGAATATGCAGACTCCGAATCTCAGACTTCCTTGCAAGGTAAGACTGCCTGCCTGGGTGGAAGGGCCTAACAGGATGCTCAGGAGTTCTTCCAACCATCCAGGGGTGATTCTGCATGGGTCAGTGTAGACAAGTCTCCTTTACTAGCGACCCAGGAACCTGTGGCTTTTTATGTCCCTGTCCCACCCAGATGACCTAAAGTCTACTGCCCTGTAATATTCTTTCCCCAAGCCTTACTCTGTGTTCCTTGGAACAAGAGAGACATGTGTGCTCTTCCTCTACTTGCTGAACTTTTCAGAACAGAGGATACCTCCCCTCTCCCACCTGAGTGTCCCGTCTGCTCAGCTGGTGCTCAGGCAACTCGGTCTGTTATCCCCAAGGGATACAGAAAAGGTGGGAGATTCAGAACAGGAAAAAAAAAAAAGGAGGAAAAGAAAATAGGCCCATCATCTTAGCAGTGCATCGCAATCTCAGTTCCACTCCAATTCCTTTATCTTTCTTCACATCTGTACCAGTTCGGTTGGGCACTTGGCAGCTTTTTTCAGGAGCATGTCAAGCACATGCTTTCATGTGCTGGGTTTTATGTGGAAGGCTTGCATCAGAGGCCACTTAAACCCTAATACAAGCTAGGCACGGTGGCACATACCTGTCATCCCATATCTCCTGGAGGTAGAAGCAGGAGAATCTTGAGTTCAAGGCTGTGACTTGAGGCTCTGACTTGAAAACGAAAGGGCTGCAGATGTGGCACTATCTTGCCCGCATGCTTTGAGGTCCTGGGTTCAATCTGCAGGACTGGAAAAACTCTATTCACACCCTCTTGACACCATGCAGGGTCAGGAGGAAAAGCAATGGGAAGGTTAATGTGCTTGCAGGAGCTCTTTGTAGAAAGCCACCTCTGAAGTAAAAAGCCTAGAGCAGACCCGGCTGGATGAGTGCAGGGACTCACACTTTTGCCCTGCAGATTGCCCTTCTGTGGGTGCAGGTGAAGGTGTAGGCTCAAGCTCTGCCTGTCATGTCACTCAGCTGCCATTCCTGTCCCTCTGCACCAGGCATGGAACCAGGTACGGCCCTGTGGGTGGGGCCTGATCAGGGCCCTCGTTCCCTCCTGGTGCTCCTAAGCTGCTGGAAGTCCAGGTCTTGGCCTGTCCTTGCAAAACCTTCACTCAGGAGAGCTGCAGAGCATCCTCGGGGGGTGCCTTGGGCTGTGATAACCTGTGCTTTCTCCCTCTGTCTAGACCTGGGGCTAGGCGCCCTGAAGGTGCCTAAAGAGGCCGATGAAGGCGGCAGGGCCACCTCAGGGAGCGCACGGAAAGGCAAGCGGCAGCACAGCTCCCCCCAGAACCCACTCCTGGACTGCAGCCTTTGCGGAAAGGTGTTCAGCAGTGCCAGCTCCCTCAGCAAGCACTACCTGACGCACAGCCAGGAGAGGAAGCACGTCTGCAAAGTCTGCAGCAAGGCCTTCAAGCGGCAGGACCACCTGTACGTAGACAACGGAGTGCTGACTCCTGCTCCTCTCCCCATCCAACCGTGGGGTTCAGTAGGTTTTGTTTAGTTCTGATAAAGGGTTATCCAAGGGCAGGGTGGCGGAGGTAAGTCCCTACCAGGTCATCTTTTCAGCCACGTCTCCTGTGTGTGCCCGCAGAACCGGGCACATGCTCACGCACCAGAAGACCAAGCCTTTCGTGTGCATCGAGCAGGGCTGCAGCAAGAGCTACTGCGATTACCGCTCCCTGCGCCGCCACTACGAGGTGCAGCACGGCCTGTGCATCCTGCGGGAGGCCCCACCCGAAGAGGAAGCCTTCGGGGACCCCCCGCACCCGGACCTGCCGCCCCCCAGCGCCCTGCGGCCCCCAGGGCCCCCTGAAGCCAGGTCCCCCAGCTCGGTGTTGCCCAACCGCGACCTGCTGCGCTGCATTGTGAGCAGCATCGTGCACCAGAAGATCCCGTCCCCCGGGCCGGCCCTGGCAGGGCCTTCGGATGGCGACGGGCGGGGCGCGGGGTCCTCCTCCTGCACCCCGGCAGCGGCCCCGGGAGCTCCGGGGGGCGCCGAGGGGCCTGAGGATCCCCAGCCCCCGCGGACGGAGGCGGCCGCGGAGGATGCGCGCGCAGCTGTGCCGTCCAGGGCGGCGGAGAACGGTGCCCTCGACGCCCCGGAGCAGGAGCCGCCGCCGCAGCCCCCCGCCCGGGAGAGCTGGGCCGAGGGCGGCGCCCTGCCCGCCCGACTGCCGCTCTTCCGAGGCGCCGCCGCGGGCGCCCCGACGCCGGGCCACAGCTTCCCGTGGCTGCGGAGCCTGCCGGGCTGCCCCAAGGGCAAGGGCGGCGGGGTCCTGGTGCTGCACAAGGCCCCGGAGCCCCGCGCCGAGCCCGGCGCCGCCGAGCCCGCGCCCGGCGCCGCCGAAGACCCGCCGGCCCCCAAGGCGCCCGGCGAGGCGTGCGCAGCGGACGAGGACAGCAACGGCTGGCCTTCCCGGAGGAGCAAGCCCGAGGACGGCGAGCCCCTGTCCTGGCCGAGCCCCGGGGAGCCGGACGGGCCCGGCGCGGCCGAGGCGGCCCCGCTCTTCCGGCAGCTGCTGCTGAAGTCGCAGGAGGCGCTGGCGGGCCACGAGCAGGTGCAGATGCTGCAGGTGCTGTCGGCGTCCCAGCGCCTCTTCGCCCCGCGCCCCGCCGACGCCCGGCAGGCGGCCCTCAAGTCGCTGCAGGGAGCCTGGCCGCAGCAGCCGCCCCCGCCGGCCGCCGCCGCCGCGGACGCCCTCCAGGGGGGCCCCGGACACCCCGAGCCCGAGGGCTCTCCGGCCCGCAGGAGGAAGACGGCGCCCGCCGCGCCCAGGGAGACCTCGCCCAGCGGCGGCGGCACCCGGCGGGACGCCAAGGGCGGCCTCAAGGTGGCCTCCGCCCCGCCGTCGCTCCCAGCGCCCCTGGAGGCGTCCCGGAACCCCGACATCTCTTCTCTGGCCAAGCACTTGCGCTCTTCCAAAGGGACCTTGGACCTGGGGGACATCTTCCCCGCCGCGGGCGCGCGGCAGCCCCAGCTCGGGGCAGAGGAGCCGCCCGGAGCCCCGCTGCCCGGGAAGCAGGCTCAAGCCGACGGCTGCGCGGTCGCCGGGGCCACGAGGCCCGACAAGGGCCCAGCCTGCCCCCGAGGGGCCAGCTACCGGCTGTTCTCGGGGAACCCCAGAGCCCAGCGCTTCTCCGGCTTCCGGAAGGACAAGGTGAAGATGGACGTGTGCTGCGCTGCGTCTCCCAGCCAGGTGGCCATGGCCTCCTTCTCGTCCAGTGGGCCTCCCGCCGATCCTGGCCGCGATGTGAAGTCCAAGCTGACCATATTCAACAGAATCCAGGTACCCAATACTGGGGACCCAACTCAGGGCGTCATACAAGACATCCTATCTACCACTTGAATCCCTTTTTAGTTACCTTGGATCTCCTTCTATGTCCAGGTGGACCTGGCCTGTGGTCCTCTTGGGATGTTGGGAATGACTGCCCAAGCCGTTGTGCCTCCCCTACCGGTAGCTGCAGTAATGGGTTGAGATGGAGTCCCCCATACTTACTCACCCAGCTGCCCTCTGTCTGCAAGCCCCCAATCACTGCCTCCCACACAGCTGGGTTTACAGGATTACAGGCTTGAGCTTGAAGGGGAAGACCATGGAGAGGTGACCAGAGCACTGTTATGTCACTGTTATGTCACTAAGCTTTTTTTGTTGATTGTTTTCTTTTGCCTCCTGTTGGCCTCCTGGATTTGTCTCCTTAAGTTCTTCAGAGGAGATGAAGGTAGAGAGCCCCCACCCTCCCGCCTCCTTAAGTACTTCTGCCTGATATGTGTGTTTTCTACTGGAAGGTTGCCTGCTGTGTGGCCCACCCTAATTCGCGTTAGCCTGGGTCCTCCCGCTTCACGCTTGAGGACCTACTCTGAGGTGTCTAGCCGCACCCCTTAGTAATGCCCGCATCCTTCTCATTGCCCCACTCCTATCTAGTGTTTTGTTTTGTTTTGCTTTGCTTTATGACTCAAAATCTTGAGCACCTGACCTTTTGAAAGTGTGCGGTTCAGTAGTTTTTAGTGGATTCATGAGGTTTACCGCTATGTGACAACTTCATCCCCTTACATCTATCTGTTGTCACCCCTAATCTTTCTACCTGCCTATCATCTCTCCATCCTCTAAGCCTTTTCTATGGAGCTGCCTCTTCTGGGCATCTCAGAGAAGTGGATCATACACTTGGGCCCTTTGTGTCTGGCTCCTGTCACTTAGCACTGTGTTCCCAAGATTCATGTGTGTTCCTGTGCAAGTCCAGGCCTCGTTTGTTTCTTTTATGGTTGAGCCATATGCTGGTGGATGGATAGACTAGAGTTTCTTTAGCTATTCATGGGTGGGCTGTTTCCCGCTTAGCTATTGTGAACATGGCTGTGTGAGCATGTTTGCCCAGCTGCTTGTGTGGATGCATGCTCTTGTGGTTTTTTTTGTTTTTTGTTTTTTTGGGTCCGGTTGTGGGGCCTGAACTCTAGGCCTGGGTGCTGTCCCTCAGCTCTTCAGCTCAAGGCTAGCACTCTACCACTTGAGCCACAATGCCACTTCTGGCTTTTTCTGCTCCAGGGCTTCATGCATGCAAGGCAAGCACTGTACCACTAAGCCACCTTCCCAGCCCCACATGCTCTTGTTTCTTTGGGCAGATGTCCAGGAGTAGAATTGCCAGGTTACATGGGAAGTCAATGTTCAATGTTTGAGGAATTATCAGGCCATACCCACTACTGCACATGAGGGGTACAATTTCTCCACATTCTTCCCTACTGTTTGGTATAGTTATTATTATTATCATTATTATTATTATTAGAATCAACCTGGTGAGTGTCAAGTCACATTTCATTATGGCTTTTGACAGTCTCACTATGCAACCTAGTCTCATGGAACTCAATGTGTGTGCCAAACTTATGATCCTTTCTCAGCTTCCCAAAGGCTGGGGTTACAGTCATGTATGATCATGCCTGGCTGTTTTCTATCTTCATGCCTGTAGCACCTTGTGGTTTTGTTTTGCCTTTTTATTATGGATAATAATGCTGAACACCCTCTCATTGGCTTCTTAGCTATTGGTATAACTTTTTTTTTTTGTCGGTCGTGGGACTTGAACTCTGGGCCTGGGCGCTGTCCCTGCGCTCTTCAGCTCAAGGCGTGCACTCTACTGCTTGAGCCACAGTGCCACTTCCAGTTTTCTAGTGATTTATTGGAGATAAGAGTCTCACAGACTTTCCTGCCCGGGCTGGCTTTGAAACGAAATCCTCAGATCTCAGCCTCCTGAGTAGCTAGGATTACAGGCATGAGCCACCGGTGCCCGGCTTCAGATATGTGACTTATAAACAGCCTCTCCCATTCTGTGCTATCGTTGGTAGGATAAAAGTTTTCCATTGTAATGAAGTCCCAATTTGTTTTTGGTCTTTCATTTTGCTTTGGCGTCTTACCTAAGAGTCCATTACCTAATCCAAGGGTGTAAAGTCTTCCTCTGGTAGTATTCCCTCGGGATCTGTTAGCTGTGGATCTTCAGTGCCTTCTCGTTTCTGTTGTGTGGACCCATATATGTTTTCTTGTACAGGGTGGAAACATCTACAGACTCCCTCATCCAATGAAGGAGGAGAATGTGGCAGGTGGATGGTAAGCTAGGAAGCCCTCCTGTCCTGGCTGGGCTCTCCCTGCGGCAGAGTCCTTGGTGGCCCTGGGGGGGGGGGGGGTTGGGGGAAGGATGAGCTGGAGGTCTTCCATCCAGAAGAGGCTCTGCTGGCCTAGAGAGTTTGAGTATGGCCTGCATGTTGAAAGGTTTGTCAATCGTGGCCAGTGGATATGAGTTAAAAGCAAAATACAATAATCATTCTTTCCATTCTCCTTGCTTCGTCTGCCCATAGCCACCAGCCCAATGGGGGTCCCACTGATTGGACAGAACCAAGGAGCACTTTTGTTTGCAAAAACTGCAGCCAGATGTTCTACACCGAGAAGGGGCTGAGCAGCCACATGTGTTTCCACAGTGACCAGTGGCCATCACCCCGGGGGAAGCAGGAACAGCAGGTGAAGGGGCTGGAGAGGCTTCTGGGGCCAATGGCAGCTGAAGGCAGCATCCTGGGAGAAGGCCTTCGGGATCGGCTGCTCTAGGACAGGACCCTCCCCCCCTTTACCAGGCAGGAACTCAGCAGTTGCTCCCTCTGGTCCAGGCCCCCCAGCTTCCCTGCTTGGGAATCTGAAGTGGCTATGACACTTAGAGACCCTTCACTTCTTTATGTTTAGGGATTTGGCACCGAGTTTTGCAAACCATCAAGACAGGTGCTAAGGCCGGACGGGGATGGACAGAGTCCCCCAGGAGGCAGGAAGTCCTTGGACAGCATGGCCACCACCCCTCTGGTGATCCCCTTGTCAGTCCCTGTGACTCCAGCACCTCGCCGCCTGGGAGGCGCAGCCAAGGTGGGTGCTTATCTAGAAGTACTGATTGGATCTCTCTACATTTTTTTTTTTTTGGGGTCCAGTTGTGGGGCCTGAACTCTGGGCCTGGGCGCTGTCCCTCAGCTCTTCAGCTCAAGGCTAGCGCTCTACCACTTGAGCCACAGCGCCACTTCCGGCTTTTTTTCTTTTTGCTTATGTGGTGCTGAGGAATCGAACCCAGGGCCTCAGGCATGCAAGGCAAGCGCTCTACCACTGAGCCAACTTCCCAGCCCCATGATTGGGTCTCTCATTCAGTACTCCTAGAGTCCTATGCTGGCCCAGGCCCATAGAAGACACAGACTTGAGCCAGACAGTGATGGCCCAGATTCATCAGGGAATGAGGGGCACACAGAGTCTGTGAGCCTCAAGCTGAGACCCTAAGGCTAAGGAGTGAGCTGGAGGGGTGGCACGGTTTGTGCAGGTGAAGGGGGCACTGTGAAGCAGGGTTCACCTCCTTAGCCTGCATGAGGACCACACTGGAGAGGTTCTGCTGCATTCGGGGATGGTGTCTGGTCCCCTTCGGCCCTGCTGGGTCCACATTTGGGTCCCAGGAGCCCCTGGCATTGGTGGAATAGGTTTTCATTAGTCACACTGCCACCTGGTGTCTCTGATGCTGTCCCCACACCTCTTACCAGGAGCGTAGGAGGGTAGAGCCTCGGCTGCCAGCAGGGATGGCTGGCCAGTGCCCAAGAAAACCCTACCCAGCCTCCTAGGCTAAGGGGTCAGATGTGGCCCCACTGGGTGTGCCTGTCCCATGAGGCCAGTCAGAAGACTTGAGCGGTGCTATAGCGGCCTCCATTGACTCTGGGCTCTCTTGCGCCAGGGACAAGAAAAAGATGGGGAAGAGAGAGACAGCAAGGACAGCCGGCAGCAGAGGAAGCGGAAGAAGCGGCCACAGCCCCAGGCGCTGCTCCTGCCTGCCCCACCCTCTGCACTGGGCGAGCCAGCGCCAGGGGGAGGCTGCCACCAGAGCTGCCTGCCCTCCCCCGTGCTCCTGGTAGACCACCTCCTGAAGGGCCTGTTCCAGTGCTCCCCCTACACCCCACCACCCATGCTTAGCCCCATCCGGGAGGGCTCTGGGCTCTACTTCAACACGCTCTGCCCTGTACCCCAGGCGGGGCCCTACCAGCTCTTCAGCTCTGTGCTTGGTGAGTAGTACAGACCAAGGCGTATCTCCTTGGCCATGCTATGCCTCCCTGTGATATCGGGTCCAGTGTTCTCTCTGGTGTTGCTGCTGAGTAGTGTCCCAGGATCCCTAGGGGGCCAGCACCCTGTACATGCATACAGTGTTGCAGACAGAAGGAATACGGACACCATTTAGTCAGACCAATCTCTGTCTGCCCTTCTGTGTCATTTCCTTAATGGCACTATGAAAGTGTAACATTATACTCTTTTAGTCTTTCCTTTTTTTTTTTTTTTTGTCTCAGTACTGGGGCTTGAACTCAGGGCCTGAGTGTTATCCTTTTGCTCTTTTTTTCACATTTTTTTAATTGTGAAAATACTGTACAAAGGGGTTACAATTACATGGGCAAGATAATGAGTACATTTCTTATCAAGCATTGTAGCCTCCTCCTTTGTTTCCCCTTCCCAACCTTTTGCTCTTTTTGTTCAAGCCTAGAACTTTACCACTTAAACTACAGCTCCACTTCTGAATTTTGGGGGATTAATTGGAGAGAAGAATCTCATGGGCCAGGAACCAGTTGCTCATGCTGGTAATCCTAGCTATTTATGAGGCTGAGATCTGAGGGTCACAGTTCAAAGTCAGCCTGGGCAGGAAAGTCCGTGACACAGTTATCTCCAGTTAACCACTCAAAACTTGGAAGTGGAGCTGTGGCTCAAAGTGGTAGAGCTAGTCTTTAGCAAAAGAGCTTGGGGATCGCACTCAGGCCCTGAGTTCAAGGCCCATGACTGATAAAAGAAAAACCCAAGAGTCTCATTGATGCTCCTGCCCAGACTGGCTTTAAACCATGATCTTCATATTTTAGCCTCCTTAGTAGTTAGGATTACAAACATGAGCCACCAGCGCCCAGCTCATAAGAGTTTTGCTTTTGTTTTTTTCTTGTTTCGATTTTGAAATTTTTATCTTTTGAATTTCAACATCTTATTTAGATGTACACCTCCCCCCCCTTACTCCTCAGTGTTGAGGTTGGAATCAGGGCCTTGTTCACGCCAGATAACACCAAAGCTTCTTCTAGATGTCTTTGTTATTTGTCCTATTTGAAGTTCATAGAGCTTCACAGACATGTTTATAATTTTTACCATTATTGTTTAAATGTTTTCTGTTCCTTTCTCCACCCCATTACATGTGAGTATTACATTTAATGGTGTCCCACACTTCAGAGGTTCTCTTCACTTTTATTATTTCTTTTTCTTTAATTCAGATTCCATAATTTCTACTGATATGTCTTCTAGTTTGTTAATTATTTCCTTCTGCCAACTCAAGCCCTGTTGAGCTCCATTTTCACTATTGTACTTTTTCACACCAGAATTTCCACTTCAAAAATAACATCAGTATTCTTTGGTGAGAAGTTGTCATTCTGCCTTCCTTGAACATCTTGAAGCGTGGGGACCAGGGGAAAGCCTTGTTTTGTTTACCCCTCCCTGGGTGGAACCTCCATGTGCAGCCTTGGGAGCTGGGTGGGGAAAGAGCTGACCCTGGCTCAAATACCACAAATGCTTGTTCTTATCAAGATTGCATCCATTTTCTTGAGTAAATATTTCTCTATATGCTGTATGCCTTTACGACAGTTTCCAGAGACCTTCCCTTACTAGTTTAGTACCAATGTGTCACTGTCATTCGTTAATTGGTTTGTTGAGTTCCTTTCTCAGCTTTTTCAGACGTCCTTTCCCTCCCAGGTATCCTCATGGCCTGTATTTGGCTGTGTCAACAAAGGCAGCCGAAAGGGGTCATGTCCACTCGGTCCACTTGAGGCTCTTCGCTGTGTGTTTTCTAGATCAAGTGGATGGCTCTTTTGGCATCTGTGTGGTGAAGGATGACACGAAGATCAGCATTGAACCGTGAGTTGGAGCAGTGAGAACCAGGCGTCCTCTACAAGAGGGTCTTTCACAGACGGTGGGGCCCAGCATCACTTTTCCCCAAGATGCTGCTTCATAGAAGGTCAGGTCAGACTGCAGAGTCTCCCTGCAAATAGTGGGCTTCTCTAGATCGATGCAGGAAGTTCCCCTGCTACTTCTTTCTCTGGCAGACATGTGGCATGTGGGACAGCCTGTCCTTGGGGCTCTGAGCAGAGTTAGTGATGGTGTAGCCCACAGTGCAGTCTGTGGCTGGACAGATGTGGACAGTTATCTGCATGCACCTCCCTGTCCAAGACCCTAAGAGAGGCAGAGGAGGAAGGAGGTGACCCTAGAGAGGTTCCCGAAATGTGTTTGCAAGATGGCATCGGGGCCCACAGAGCAGGCTGTGGCTGGCGTAGGCCCATGCTTCTCATCTTGGTCACCCCAGCGTATCTCTTCCAGACACATCAACATAGGGAGCCGGTTTCAGGCTGAGATCCCGGAGCTGCAGGAGAGATCTCTGGCTGGAGTGGACAAGCATGTGGCAGCTCTGGTTTGGAAGCCATGGGGAGATGTGATGACCAATCCCGAGACACAGGACAGAGGTGGCTGAGGCTCTGGGGTCTCACTGAAAAGCTCCTCCTTCCCCACCAGTACCAGGGAGTCTTCCCCTCCCAGGGTCGCTTCTCCCCAGCTGTGTTCTGTCTTCTCCTTTGCCTAGTGGCTAGTTGGGCTATGTAGAGCCCAAGGAAGGCTTCTGCTCACCCTCCTTGTCCACAGAGAAGTGCGAGGGAGGGAGGGAGGAAGGGAGGTGTCCACCTGACCAGCTCCTGACTCCATCTTTCCTAACCCTTGCTCGCCTTGCTTGCTGGAACCGGAACCGCAGTGACAGAGCTCTGTAATGTGGCATGCTCCAGTGTGATGCCAGGAGGGGGCACCAACCTGGAGCTCGCTCTGCACTGCCTGCACGAAGCCCAGGGCAGCATTGAGGTGAGGCTGGGCTGGGCCAGGCTAGAGTGGGATTGTCATGGACGATCAGCTGTGGGTTCCACTTGTCCCATCATTACTGATCCCTGGAGAGGGGGGGCAGTGGGGAAGGGAGCAGCAAATCCAGCTCAAGTTGTGTCCATATGTTCTTGTCTTCGTTGTTTGTTCAGACAGAATCACACTGAGTAGGCCAGACTGGCTTGGAACTCACTGGGTAGTCTAGGCTAGCCTGAAAGTCATCTTCACCCTTTGATTGAAAGACCAGGCATAATCCCCTGGCTCTATCATCATAGCTGTACAAGGAGCAGAGCTAGGAGGACATCCAGCCCAGGCTAAAAATTAAGGCAAAAGGGTCTTGAGGTAGTAGTATTCACTGGACACTACGTTAAAAATGAACTACAGAACTGGTGGATGCCATGGGAGAGAAAAACTGGGAAAGAACGAGGAAAGGGGTGGCATTACATAACTGGTAACGTACTCTGTACATCACCTTTAGAATAACAATAACATTTTTTTAAATAGGCATAGCTCAGGTAGTAGAGCACCACCTAGTGAGGCCCTAGGTTCAACCCCCAGGACTGTTAAGAGAAAAGGCTGCATCTGAAAACTACTATACAGACCCATCTCTCAGTTCTTGGTTTAGGAAATTAAGTCCAACTCTGAGTAGTGGGAGGCATTGTTGTTAGGAAGGCAGGTATTAGGTGGTGGCCTCGCTTTCTGTCAGGCTGTGGGGCAGTGTTTGGCATGCAATACATTCTTATTGAATACCTCCTATATGCCCATCCTTCTGTGGGTGTCACCATCTCATAACTCTTTTTCTTTTTCTTTTTTTTTTGGTCAATCCTGGGGCTTGAACTCAGGACCTGGGCACTGTCCCTGAGCTTCTTTTGCTCAAGGCTAGCACTCTACCACTTGAGCCACAGTGCCACTTCTGGCCTTTTCTTTTATGTGGTACTGAGGAGTCAAACCCAGGGCTTCATGCATGCAAGGCAAGCACTCTAGTACTAAGTCACATTCCCAGCCACCATCCTGGAATTTTTTTTTATCCTTTATGAATAAGGGGTCTCCATTCTGCACTGGAGCCCAGAAATGACCCATCTAGCCTTGATGATGCTGGGGATACATCCCTGCCCTCACAGGGCTTGTATTTTAAGAAAGACAAAACAAGCCGTCACTGCGAGGCTTACTAGCCACCATGGTGTGCTGTGGATAAAGTGAGTCCAGCCCAGTGAGGGCCAGGCTTTCCAGCACCAGGTCTTGTTCTGCGAGAGTGGGCGCTGGGGTCAGAATGGCACCACACCCCATGGTGTGGCCAAGTCCTATTGCTGTGCCTGCCCCAGGACCATCCACTTTGAGGACCCTGGTAGTAGGAGAGGCTGTGAGGATGACTGCAATGTCCACATGAATGCAGAAGTGCAGGTGCTACTCCACTTCCTACCCTGCCCTGCCCCATGAGTGGCCTGTACCTGCTCTCATTCCAGGTTGCCCTAGAGACTCTCTTACTCCGAGGACCCCAGAAGTCACGTGCCCACCCGCTGGCTGACTATCGATACACAGGTAAGTGTGGGAAGAGCAGGCACTCCAGGGCCTGGTTGAGAGCCTTGCCAACAAGTCAGGCCCAGTGGTACACTCTGCCTTGACCTTTTCCTCCTCAGGGGCCTGGCCAATGTGTTCTTTCTTTTTTTTTTTTTTTTCTTTGGTCATGAGACTTGAACTCTGGGTCTGAACACTGTCCCTCAGCTCTTCAGCTCAAGGCAAGAGCTCTACCACTTGAGCCACAGTGCCACTTCCAGTTTTCTGGAGTTTCCCAGACTTTCCTTCCCGGGCTGGCTTTGAACCATGAACCTTAGATATCAGCCTCCTGAGTAGCTAGGATTACAGGCGTGAGACACCAGCACCAGCCTCACTGTGTTCTCACTGCTGCCTGGGCCACGTCCCCTAGCAAGCCACTGAAGTCTTGGTTGCCACTAAAGAACTGCAAGGTTTTGTGGGTCACCTGGCACTGGCACACGTTTGGTGCTGGGGAATGGCGGCTTTAATGTGGAGGGTGGTCTGCACTTCCACTCTGGCTGTAGTCCCACAGGGAGAAATATTTCTTCCTCTTGGCCATGTTCTCCCACAGGCTCAGACATCTGGACCCCCATGGAGAAGAGGCTCTTTAAGAAGGCATTCTGCGCCCACAAGAAGGATTTTCACCTGATCCACAAGACGGTGAGGCTTGGCTACCACTGCTCAAAGATTGTGAATGTTTCTCTCAGGATCTTGGCTGGTGCTGTAAATCTGCTTCCTATTGTTTCAGAATCAGAAACTTTCCCTTGTTCAGGATCAGAAACTCAGCTGCCTTTTCTTTTTAACTTATGGTGTTTCTTATATCACAAATGCTCTGTTTCAACTTCTAGCTTGTGAATACACAAAGCCGAAACAGTGATGTGCAGAAAGGATTTCTGGCATGAACTTACTACCCACTGAAATGTCCCGAGAAGTTTCCAGAGGAGGGGTGGCAGTTCCTGGGAATGTACTGGAGGGCTTGAGCATGTTCAGTGTGGGCTCTACCACTGACCTGTACACCAGCCCTTCATTTCCTTCCTTTCCTTTTCCTTTTCTTTGCCAGTAATGGGGCTGAACTCAAGGCCTGGTGCTTGCTGGTCTTGCTTCCTCACAGCTGGTGTTTTACCACTTGAGCCACACTTCCAGCCAGCCTTTTTGCTGGAGGCAGAATCTCAGTCTTTCCTGCACAAGTTGCTCTTGATCCTCCATCCTTTGGATCTCAGCCTCTGTAATAGCTCAGCCCTCCATTTACTTATGGAAGTTACTTAATGTGTCGAGACAGAGTCTTGCTTTGTATCCCAGCTGGCCTGAAACTTGAGATCATCCTGATTCTACCTCCCCAATGCTGGGATTACAGGCATGTGGGACTACACCCAGCTCTAGAGCGTTTTTGCTAGTCCTGGGGCTTGAACTCAGGGCCTAGGCACTGTCCCTGAGCTGCTTTTGCTCAAGGCTAGCACTCTACCACTTTGAGCCACAGCACCACTTCCAGCTTTTTCCTTTTATGTGGTACTGAGGAATCGAACCCAGGGCTTCCTGCATGCTAGGCAAGCACCCCACCATCAAGCTACATTCTCAGCCCCAGAACTCAACCTTTAAAGAGAACTCTTTTTAGAGCAGAGGGAAGGACAAAGGGGCAGGGCCTGAGTGCCTTTGGCTCCAACTGTGTCCTCAAAACCCCTCCCCTTGAGTGGGCCAGTTTGCTTCCAAGGCTTCTTCAGGGCTCTGCCTGCCTGTAAGGGCTGGGTGATAAAAAAAAAGCACCGCCTCTAGGTCTTCCCATGGGAAGAACTTCCCGGGCTAGCCTTAGATGTGGGTGCCTAATGTGTGGCTTCACTTTGGACCCTGTTATCGCCTGGGTGGACCCTGCCTGTGCTGGTGGGCTTGGGCCCCCCAAGCCAGGTGCCACTAGACCAGTGGTACGGTAGAGTTGTCACCAGGTGGTAGCTGGCTGGGGCACTTAGGGGCCTGTGAAGCACCACCAACAGCCTACTTCCGTTTTCCTCCACTAGATCCAGACAAAGACTGTAGCACAGTGTGTTGAGTATTATTACATCTGGAAAAAAGTGATCAAGTTTGACTGCGGCCGAGCCCCTGGACTAGAAAAGAGGGTCAGGAGAGAATTGGATGAGGTAGAAAGGACAGAAGAAAAGGTTAGCAGACCAAGGGGGAAGGAGGCTGGAGTGCATCGTGGTCCCAATGGGCAGGTGCATGTACACACACACACACACACACACACACACACACACACACACACACACACACACACACACAGAGCCACTGTAGTTGGAAGGGTGGGGGAGCAGTCTCAAGGGAAGGTCTTCCTGTAAAGCTCCTGGGTGCCTGGCCTATCTTTCCCTCACAAGGGTCACACTCAGCACCTTGATGGTTTTGCCTCTCTGCAGGTCACTTGCAGCCCTCGGGAACGATCTAGCCACCGTCCAACTCCAGAGTTGAAGATAAAGACCAAGACCTATAGGAGAGAGTCCATCCTCAGTCCCAGCCCAAGCACAGGCCCAAAGCGGACCCCTGAGCCGCCAGGAAGTGTGGAGGGCCAGGATGTCTTTCCATGCAGAGAGTGTGAGAGGTAGCTGGTCTTTCCGGGCCTTGGCCTATGGTCCCTCCCTTGGCCACTCACCTCCTCCCTGTCTGACCCACGTCCTCTGGCTCAACAGGGTGTTCGACAAGATCAAGAGTCGGAATGCCCACATGAAGCGGCATCGCCTTCAGGAACACGTGGAGCCTGTGGTCAGAGTCAAGTGGCCTGTCAAGCCCTTTCCACTAAAGGAGGAAGAGGAGGAGGAGGAGGAGGAGCTGGCAGCTGACATTGGCCCTCTGCAGTGGTGACTCCCTGCTGGCAGCTACTCTGGGGGGCTCCAGCCCTGTCCTGCCTCCCTGGGTCTTTGCAGAGTGTTTGCGCCCCTTCCCTCACCACTCCCATTTATCCTATTCCTCTTGGCCAGTTTCTCTGGCCCATTTGGCTGTGCACAGGCAGAGATGTCACCAGACAGCTCTGAAGTCCCTGTGCTGGGACCAGAGGCTTAATCCTCTGCAGGTTAATAGTCATCCACTCCTTTCAATTCTATATTGCCTGGAGCTGGGAGGCTTGATGGGGGGAGGGGGGCAGAGGCTCTTCAGTCTTAGCTGCCGGTGTGAGTTTGTTCTGTTGGATGAGGTGGAGATGTGGAGAATCAGCGGGTGCAAACTGAAATCACCAGCAGGTTGGCTCCTCCCCACAGCAGGGGCTCTGTGCTCTGGGTCCATCCATTGTCTTACAGTGACTTGTACATTGTTAGGTGTGTTTTGTACGTGTCTACTTGTAAATCATATTAAATTGAGTTCTTGAGCAGCTGTCTTCTGACTCCCCAGACTCTCAGCTATACAGAGGCGTCTAAGCACACAGCCCCCACTGGGATCCGGAAGGTGAGCCCCTGTGCCTGCCCTGGAGGCCTGGAGAGAGCTGGGCATTTGCCTCCAGGCAATCATTCAGTGTACAATGTGAAAAGCACCTGTTAAGAGACTTTCTCTGCTTCCATCCCAGCAGCAGAGCTGCAGGAGAGCTGAGGGCAAGGGTTTTTCCTCCCATAGTTTCTGCTTACATCTGGGGGTGGGGCCTTAGAACTTAATTTTAGGTAAAGAAGTCTTTTTAGGGTTGGGCTGTGGCTCCATGATAGAAAGCATAAGTGTAAGGACTCAGCTTCTCCAGAAAACAAAAGGAGACTTTTAGGATAGTTGTTGATTTATACAAATTTTGCAAAAACAGTACCAAAAAGTCCTATATACCACTCCTATTTCCCCTCATTATTAACATCTCCCACTAGTATGATACATTTGTTACAATTAGTGAATCAATATCAGCACAGCACTTTTTAATAAAGTCCATAGTTTGTTTAGATTGCCTGCATTTTTACCAGTGTTCTTTATGTCAAAGTCCCATCCAGAATATCTTATTATATTTAGTAATCCTGTTCCCTTAGACTCTTGCAATAACAGTGGTGATGGTTTCTCAGACTTCCCTTGTTTGATGACGACAGTTTTGAGGCATTTTGGGCAGGTATAGTGTTTAATGGGCCTCACGAGTTGAGAGGAAAGCCACCAAAGTGCTATTTCAATTATGTTACTAAGGATACACACTATCGGCATGACTTGCTTGGGTGACAACATCAGGTCTCACTGGGAACTTAAGCCTCCCTGTGCAGGTCCACATTGAACGTATGGGTAATTATACCCCATCTTTTTTGGGGGAGAGGTCAAGGAATGGTATTATGGCTTGAACTCAGGGCCTTACACTCACTAAGCAGGTGCTCTGCCACTTAAGCCGCACCCCTTGACATCTTTGCTTTAGTTTGGGTCTCATGAGAGCTCTCCTCTCTCTCTCTCTCTGTATGACAAGAGTATGACAGACTCACTCCCTTTTGGGCACTGCAGACCTATCTTGTATAATGTCTAGTTCTAGACCCAGCCATTTCTCCTAAGAATTCTGGTTCCATTGACTGGAGAATGGTATTAATCTAGGCACCTAGCTCTGGAACCTAACTCTTTTTTATGCTCATCCTGGGGCTTGAGAACTCGGGGCCTGGGTGCTGTCCCTGAGCTTTTTTACTCTATGGCTAGCCCTCTGCCACTTGAGCTACAGCTCCACTTCCAGCTTTTGAAGATAAGAGTCTCACAGACTTTCCTGCCTGGGATAGCTTCGAACCATAATCCTTAGATCTCAGGCTCCCGGGTAGTTAGGATTACCGGTGTGATCCACGGGCTCTAATATTTAGAGAATCTCTGCTCTTTGCCCTCCCAAGCCAGTTTGAGCACCGGCCGGCAGAGGGCGCTAGCAGTAAAATAGTTTTATATATTTTTTAAATCACAGAGGCCTTTCTAAATCAATTTTTTTTCTAAAAAGAATGACGTGATATAAAGTGAGGAAACGACAGAACTGCAGAACTGTCAAAACCGCGCTGGCGCGGGAACCTGTCACGTGATCATGGAAGTCAGCTGACAAGTGCCCAGATTCCGCCGGGCGGGGTGTTAGTGGGAGGGGTTCTAGAGGCCGAGTCTACGATTGGCTCCTATGGCATCACGTGGAGGGTGTCAGACGCGAGACTAGGAAGCTAGCGGACGCCGTACACTGGTGTCTGCGCATGCGTGGACGTTTCAGATCGTGGATTGGAGGCCCGGAGTCACTGGGCTGTGTACAGCGGCCGTGGGGGCGTGGCCCTCGGGGGCGCGCGCCGCACCACGGAGCCTCTGGTTGGCTGACGCCAGTCAGGTGGCGCCGGGCCGCAGGCGGCGCGCGCCAGAACGACGTCAACGCAGCTCCCCGAGTTCTCCGGGTCTGTGTACGCTGCCGGCCTTGGCGGAGTCCTCCCTGGGACCGGGCCCGGCAGTTTGTGAGAACCTTTGCGGTCGTCATGGACAACTCCGCGAAAGAGGCGGAGGCGATGGCGCTGCTGGCCGAGGCGGATCGCAAAGTGAAGAACTCTCAGTCCTTCTTCTCCGGCCTCTTCGGGTAGGAACTGAGCGGGGGTCTGCCGGGAACTGGGCTGAGAGGTCGCAGGAGTCGTGGCTGAGGCCGCGGGCTAGGCCTCGCGCCGTCAGGCCGGAAGGACCGCGGTGGGGCGGCCTGAGGGGTCCCAGGGTCCCAGGCCGAACGCCAAGCAGCCCCGGCTTGAGGACGGTCAGGGGCCTGAGTCGAAGACACACAGGCCAGGGCGACACCATCTTGTGGCTGGAGACCGTCGGGGGTGACCCGGGCCTGGGGAACCACACTGCGGCCTCGAATAGGCCTCCTGAGGGGACTGAAGGAGCCCAGAGATTCGCCAGGTTGCGAAGTTTTTGGCGCTCAGGGAAATAGGCTGGAAGGATTCAGGCCCTTGGCAGTGGATTGGTGTGGACGCTGGGTGGTCGAGGTGACGGAGGAAGGAATCGACACCAGCAGAGGATGGAGTTTAGGTGCCTGGTCTAGGGTGGCGAAAGCTACCAGTGACTAGCTTAAGAAGACCTGAGCGGAGGACCCTGGGTGAGGGAGGCAGACAGAGGAGGCCTGAGCTGAGAGATGAAGATGAAGAGAGAAAGAAAAGGCAATTAAGAGACTGATCCAGTGAGGGGATTGGAGGCCTGCCCTGTGGGCCTCGAGTCTAGGGGATCCCAGATGTGGGTTAGATGAGACTGATGGGGGCTGGGAGGCAGAACTAACACCTACGTGGTGACAGACATTTAACAAAAGTTTATGTGAGGAAGCTTCATAGTTAGGAGCATAAAGCCCAAGGTTGAAATGTGGCTCTTCCACATCCTCATGCTAAGCATGGTAAGACTTTTTTTTGGGTGGGGAGGAGGGTCATGGGGCTTGAATTCTGGGCCTGGGTGCTGTCCCTGAGCTCTTCAGCTCAAGGCTAGTGCTCTACCACTTGAACCACAGAGCTACTTCCGGTTTTTAAATGGTTTATTGGAGATGAGTCTCACAGATGTTCCTATCCGGGCTGGCTTGGAACTGAGATCCTCAGATCTCAGTCTCCTGAATAGCTAGGATGACAGGCATGAGCCACCGGATTACAGGCATGAGCCACTGGTGCCCAGCTATGATAAAACTTTTTATCACACATCAAGTGTGTTTGAAGTGCTTAGTATCCAGCCTGATGTGGGTTAAAGTTCTGGTATTGTCACCAGAAAAGACTTGGACATTTGGAGTGATAGAGAGGCCTGGATGAGGACAAGAGATTAGGAAGCCTGTATGTGATAGGGACCAAGAGCTAAACGGGAATGGAAAAGACGCTGGACCCTGGGGAGGTAGTAGGTTTAGGAGATCAGGTTGAAGGAGAGGCCTGAAAGTGTCAGGAAGAGGCCTGGTAGAGAGGATCTGTGCTCAGAGAGGACACCAGAGTGGGGCACCGAGTCAAGAACCTCAGAGGCAGAGATGGGAAGACGATGGGAGCAGAAGAGCCAGCCAGAAAGGGAAGGAAGGGCCTGGGACTTGGACGAGCCTCTGATAGGAGCCTGGCAGAGGTTAATGAGAAGTGAAGGGGAGGGATCTTTCCAGAAGAGGAGCTAGAGCTTTCTTCCAGTTTGCTTTTGTATGTTGTGAGCCTGGTGAGCCAGGGTCTTGCTATGTAGCCCAGGCTGGCCTGGAACTTGAGATCCTCCTGCCTCAAACTCCCTAAGGAACTTCATAAGCATGTGCCACCACATCCTGGTGAGCCACCCTTTGTTATTTGAAGTTGAGTCATGTTTAGCAAAATAATTGAAGAATGTGGCTGGATTGCTTGGGGTAATGAAACATCCAGGTCTGATGGGCTGTGTTGATTAACAGGAATGTTTTATTCTAGAGGCTGAGGATAGAAGGGAGGAGGGTATGTGTGTTTCTTCCTTTTACACTAAGTGAAAAGTTCATGTGCCATGTTTGGGAGTGGGGCCAAGAGCTCAGTTTTCAGCAGTAGTTTTCCTGGTGCCTCTCAGTGACTGGTCCCTTTGGCTCAGAGATTAGTGTTGGTTAGTTAGTTAGTTACAGTTGGGCTGTGTTTGTAGGGAGCCGCTGTTAGCTCCAGAGCCACTTGTCACTTGATGGGAAGGCAAGATCAACACTTGCAAAGTGCTAATAAAACAAAACTTTCAAGATGTAAGGAAGGATTAGGTAGTGTCATTCATGTGAAGTTGCCCGGCTGAGAGGAAGTTACATGGACTCAAGGTGGGAAGGTGCACTGCATTCTTGGCACAGACAAACCCTGGGACATGCTATGGGAACAGGGTAGAGGTAGACTAGCCAGAGGTCTGCTGTCTGCCCAGAAGGACTGAGGACCCAAGATGACATCCCAGATGAGAAACTGTAGTCTTGGGGTGCTCTGGCGGGGATAGCTTAGGCAAAGGGCCTAGATATATAAAGAGCACCCTGTGAAGGTTTAGTGTTGGAGTTCATGTTTGATCAGAACTCCGCATGGGCAGAGCAGAGGCAAGGCCAGGAGCGCTAACTTGGACTTGAGACACTGGCAAGGCTAAGGAGTGTAGTGGGGGCAATTCAAAGGGCTCCTGTTTGCCCTTTGGGAAGGACTGCTGCAGTGGGTGTGGGGACAGTGATGCAGAGAGCTATTGCAGAGAGAGTGGAGCTTGCAGGTGATGCTGGCCTTGGGTCCTATGCTTGGCTCAGACACTTAACCTGCTTCCTCTTATTTACTCCACACAAAATCCCCGTGGCTGTGGATAAAGAGTAAAGCAGGGCTTAGAGAAGTTGGTTTTATTTGTCTATCACCACAGGAAGTGAGAGAGGCAGGTTCAGACCCTGGCTTGTTCCAAAGTCCTCTGGCTTTGCCATCAGGCTAAGCTACCAGTGTCGTTTGTTTCTGAGGCTGGGCCCCAGTAGGGGACACTTC